GTTTTGGGCCGCCCACGGGCCAATTTTACATTCCTACCAATGTTAATTTTAAAATATGAATGTTTACATCATTAAATTGCTAATCGTTGAAAAAATATTTATAAGGGTATCAAAATTAAATATAAGGGCATAAGTGTCCAAGAAAATAGTGTAAATCAAGAAAATGGACTTTATGGAATAAAACTATACATACATGGGACTAAATGGGTTAAAAAATTCCTTCATGGACTTCTTGGGTTAAAACACTTCTAAATTGGACTTATCAATAAAAATCCCTATTTTTAATTGACAACAAATTAAAAATAATGTGAACATTCTCTTTCATCTGATGTGAACATTCACAACATCTTTTCGAAAAATTCTCTCTTATCTAATGTAGTGATATGAACGTTCACAACATGTGAACCTTCTTATTTTTAATTGACAAGACATTAAAAATAACATCCATTATATTTTTAATTGACAACACATTTTTATTCACAATATATAGTGATGTGAACGTTCACATTCGTATGTTTTAATATAAATATTCACATTATGTAATTGACAACACAATGATAAAAATTTGTTTCAAATTAATGTAAATATAATGATGTGAATATTCATTTTAATCACATGATGTGAATATTTACATCATGTAATTGACAATACAATAACAAAAATTCGTTTCAAATTAATATGAATACAGTGATAGTCAACATCTTGATATATGGGAACTATTAAAACATAATGACAATCAACATTAAATATCAACATTAATAGGGGTAGGAGAGATTGAGGGTGTTTTGGTATTCTTACCTCAAATAGGATCTAATAGAATAGTAAAAAAAAAAAAAAGGGTTGGATGAAATAAAACTCTTAGAAAGAAAATTTATCAAAAAAGCTCCCATTTAAAAAACTTAATGAATAAAAAAGAATCATCGTAACATGTAAAACTGCTAAAATCACTGTTAAACCAGTAAATTAATCAAACTAAAAATAGTTTAGCTTAATCAGTTAAGTCAAAAGATCAACCAACTTACACAAAAATTAATTAATTAAAACTTTTAAATTTTATTTTATTAAAATTAAAACTGTCATTAAATATGGAAAGCAATCTATTAATTTAAATTTAAAATTGATGCAATATAAATTTAAAATTATAATAATGTATCCCATGATCTATAAGTTTTAAATAAAAATTTAAAATTATCATAATTATCTCATAATTTTTGTATTAATGAACGGTAAAAGTAACATTGAGATTATCAATGTATCTATACATTTTACAAAAGAATACTTTTAAGGAAAAAAAATTATGAGAGTGTCAAAATCTTATACAAAATTATTTTTAAAATTAAGGCCTCTATGTGGGATTGTAAGATAAAAATTAAATGGAAGCTAATTAATGAGAATTTTCTTAATTGTTTAAGATTAAGAAAATCAAAAAAATTAGTATGAGATATTGATCATAAGACTTTTCACTAAAAATCTCATTTTGCTTATATAAATGGAAGTATAAGATTCACTTTATGTAAGTGAAACAATTTATTTTTTTTTTTCCGATGTGGGATTGTAAAATAAAAGGTAAAAAAAATTTATATATTTTACAAAAGAATATTTTTAAAGAGAGATATTATGAGGGTTTTAAAATCTCATACAAAATTATTTTTAAAATCAAAATTTCTATATGAGATTGTAAAATAAAAATTAAATGGAAGTTAGCTAATAATGATTTTCTTAATTGTTAAAGATTAAGAAAATCAAAAAAATAAAATAAAAATTAGTATGAGATATTGATTATAAGATTTCTCACTAAAAATCTCATTTTGCTTTTATAAATGAGGATATAAGATTCACTTTATGTAAATGAAACAATTCACCTTTTCTTTCATTTCTCGATGTGGAATTGTAAAATAAAAGGTAAATGAAAGTTAGCCAATGGAAAATTTCTTAATTGTTTAAGATTAAGAAAATTCAATAATTTTAGAATGAGGGTTTGGATATATCTATATATTTTACAAAAAATACTTTTAAGGATAAGATTAAGAAAATTCAATAATTTTAGAATGAGAGTTTGGATATATCTATATATTTTACAAAAAATACTTTTAAGGAAAGACATTATGAAAGTTTCAAAATTTTATACAAAATTATTTTTAAAATCAAAACCTTTACGTGGGATTGTAAAATAAAAGTTAAATTAAAACTAACCAATAAAAATTTTCTTAATTGTTCAATATTAAGAAAATCAAAAAATTAGTATGAGATATTGATTATAAAGTTTCTCACTAAAAATCTCATTTTGCTTATATAAATGGGAGTATAAGATTCACTTTATATAAGTGAAATAATTCACTTTTTTCTTTTTCTTCTCCCAATGTGAGATTGTAAAATAAAGGTTTAATGGAATTTATATATTTTACAAAAGAATACTTTTAAGAAGAGATATTATGAGAGTTTCAAAATCTCATATAAATTATTTTTAAAATCAAAACCTCTATGCGAGATTATAAAATAAAAGTTAAATAGAAGCTAGCCAATGGAAATTTTCTTAATTGTTTAAGATTAAGAAAATAAAAAATAAAAAAAATTGTTATGAGATATTGATCATAAGGTTTCTCATTAAAAATCTCTTTTTACTTATATAAATGAGAGTATAAGATTCACTTTATATAAGTGAAACAATTCACTTTTTTTTTTTCTTTTCCCCATGTGGGATTATAAAATAAAAGATAAATGAAATCTATATATTTTACAAAAGAATACTTTTAAAGAGAGATATTATGAGAGTTTTAAAATCTTATACAAAATTATTTTTAAAATCGAAACTTGTATGTGGGATTGTAATATAAAAGCTAAATGGAAATTAACTAATGGGATTTTCTTAATTGTTTAAGATTAAGAAAATAAAAAAATAAGTATAAAATATTGATTATAAGGTTTCTCACTAAAAGTCTCATTTTACTTATGTAAATGGGAGTATAAGATTAACTTTATATAAGTGAAATAGTTTACTTTTTCTTTTTTTTACCGATGTGAGATTGTAAAATAAAAGGTAAATGAAATCTATATATTTTATAAAAGAATACTTTTAAGGAGAGATATTATGAGAGTTTCAAAATCTCATACAAAATTATTTTTAAAATCAAAACCTCTTTGTGGGATTGTAAAACAAAAGTTAAATGGAAGTTAGCCAATAAAGATTTTCTTAACTGTTTAAAATTAAGAAAATCAAAAAAATTAATATGAGATATTGATCATAATGTTTCTCACTAAAAATCTCATTTTACTTATATTAATGAGAGTATAAGATTAATTTTATGTAGATGAAAAAATTCACCTTTTTTTTTTTTCGATATGGGATTGTAAAATAAAAAATAAATAAAAGTTAGCTAATAAAAATTTTCTTAATTATTTAAAATTAAAAAAATTTAATAATTTTAGAATGATGATTTGGAACTCCTAGAAGGCTTCTTCCTAAAAACTCCATTTTCCATATATAATATATAAATAGATAGTGAAACAAACTTTATTTTATCTTCTTCTTTTTTGAAGCAGATTAATTTGGCTTTGCAGCTTTGAGGCTCCACAAGATAAATGTCAGGATCATCACCAAATATCTAGGTCCAAATTAGAAGAGGCAATTCAAGCCACTGATTTGCTAGACAATCAGATGGCCGTTCAAGCTTTTAACGGCTCAATCACAAAATCATTCTTTTAACCTCTTGTGAAATTACACAGAAAAAAAAGAAGTTATCTATGCGTAGAATAGTTAAAACATTTGTGTGTGCCAAATCCCACGCTACACTACTAGAAAAGTGGGTATAAGACACGGAGTTTTTTGCGACGGTATATTAATCGTCACAAAAAGCACTCTTTTGCGACAGTTAATACCCCGTCGCCAATAGTCGCTTTTTGCGACAGCAATTCCTATCTCAAAAAGATGGAAGGATATGTTGGATGGTTTTTGCGATGGCAAATTATTAGTCGTCGTAAAAGCCTATTTTTTTGAGATGACTTTTTTCCCGTCGCAAAAGATTTTTTTTTTGGCATGGCCTTCGTTGTGTCGTGGCTAATAGACCAAAAAAAAAAAGCGCTTCTTGTTTTTTTCTCTATCACGCCTCTGTCTCCGTCACGCCCTCCTCCTCCTCTCTCTCGCTCCACCACTATCGGTATAGGAGCACACGACCACCACTGCCATTGATATCACCATCGCAAACCAGCAGCGCCTGATGGCAACACTCGCAGTTACGGAAAACATCAGAGGCAAATCCGAAATACAAAAATTAACGGCCTCTCTCACCTTTACGCGATCGTTCGTTCGTTCGTTCGTTCGTGTCGAGTGTTTTCGTGATAGAGAACGAGGAAGCAAGGAACTCCCGAAGCGTAGAGAGAGAATCTAGAGAGAGAAAGAGAGAAAATTGGGGCTGAGGAGGGAAAAAAGTTACAGAAGGTTTTCTCGTTGTTTTTTGGTTTCTCTCAGAGGTTAAAGCCTCTGTAACAATTCCAATGTGTTTCTAGACCCCATCATTACCTTCATTTTCCATTTCCATTACCGTTTCCAGAGAGAAAATCCCGAGGAAAAGTGAGGAAGATATAGAGAGAGTCGTCTTTGGTGCGAGTTTATCGATTTTGGGGGCAAAAATTGGATCTTGTAGGTTATTCACATTGTGGGTATATTGGAAAGAATCAATGGGTTCGCCTACATTGTGCTTTTGAAGGAAATTTAGGGTTTGATCACTCTCAATTTGATTGATTTGTGAGAAAAATGGTATTCACTTCCAATTGATTTTTGCAACTATTTTGTTTTTCATTTTTTTTTGAATTTTGATGATTTTTGAGTTATATTTGCTGACCTTAGTTGGTAATGGGAGCAAAACAGTCTCCCATTTCACCAAGTGATGCTGACGTGAGCACCACCGTCTACAATCTCAGTTTCGTATTCTCTTTCTTCCCATCAATTTTTCAAGGTGATACTGTTCAATCAAAGTTATGAAGGTTCTGATTGCAAGGGAAGCTTTGTTCTTACAACTTGAATAGAATTTTTTTTGGGAATTTCATGATGGCAATATTTGTTTGGTTTTAATTCCATCCATATCTCTTTCTTGTTGTGTTGGTTTATTGCAGTATAAATGCTCATCAAGGTCACTGTAAATATATGAAGACATGTACATGTATAAGAAGTAAATAATCTATATATCTGTATATGTGTAAACATGTATTTATGATTTTTGTACCCTTGCTGTCTCGGTTTCCTACTTGTAGAATTTTCGATATCTGCATTTCCATGTTGTTGTATGTCTGTTTTTTGTGCGAAGTGTCTGGTGTTTATTTCCATGCTATTTATGCCAAATGTTATTCACATGCTTGGAAATTGTTGGGTGCTCATGGTAGGAGTATGAATTATTGAGTTCCAAGAAGCTTCATATAAATTTGTGGTCCATAGATTGGAATTTTTCTTAGCTGGTAACTTTTTAATTTGAAAAAGTTGCTTTAGGGCCTAAGAGTTGATTGGTTATATGCTTACTTGTCAAACCCAAGATATTGATGCATACATTTATGCTTCTTGATCTTTGGGGCTGAACTGCAATGAAGTGGTGAATTAAGTAGTTAAATTAAGGGTGTTGGATCGAGTTTTACTATCTCTCCTAAAATTAATTGGTGTTATAGAGTGTTTCACTTTTGTCTTTTATGGAGTTTGACATCGTGCTCCGCAGAATTGTTTTTAGAGCAATCGTAGGGAGCGGGTATTGTGTATCAACAAAGGGAAATGGATTTAGATTTAAATTTAGATCTAGAAAAAAAAAGGGAAAAGAAAAAAGACAAAAGAAGCTATTAGAGCTTGGTTTGTGCATTGATTTTGTTAATGTAAAGGGCTATGAACGATTTAATGGGAGAATAAAGTCAGCACTTTTAAAGATTTCAGATATAAAGATTGGGAAAAATAATCTACTCCATGGCTTGATCGAGAGCCACTATTGGATCAATGGAAAGGTCTAGAGTCATTCATCAAGAAAATCAAGAACTGTAATGTCTTATGACAATAAGGGACAATGTGGGATCCTCTGTTCCCTTGTCCCAAAACACTCATAGGTGTTGAGTTATACATCAAGATTCTTGTTATTTAAGATTCTCACATAATTCAATAGTTGCAAGTGTCTTGGGATAGGGAGACAGAGAGATTTGCGGGCACAGGATGATCCTTGGCCATTAGGGGTCCTCTTTATAAATGATAATTAAGAGCATAGGCAAAGCTTGTAAACATTTTCCACCGCTAATATTACCAAAATAGATAGAAGTTCCCAAGCAACTAAATTAGTTGGATTGCACTTCTAAACTAACTCAACTTAGAATGCATAGAATTCTAAAATTCTAGCTTGAAAACTAATAATCTTGGTGTATCGATATTATAGATAAATTGTTACTGTCATGCTTGTCTTGTTATTTATATCATGCTACAGAGTTAAGATTAGAGTTTGGATTATTTAGTGAGGTTTTTGATCCCTTTTCTTATATTTGTATAATATTGAGCTATATATATCATAGCTCTTTAAGGAGACTTCTGATGATTTAAAAGTTTTCTTCGGCTTTGGTATTCTTTTCATTTAGTGCCAACAGGAGGTTTTTCACCAAGTTTATTTTCAAGCCTTCAACAGTGATTCAGGTATGAGACTGCTCTTGATTGCGTCAAATTTGCGACAAATGACTAATAAGACGACATCTAAAAGGAAAACCAAAGCATCAAACTCATAGCTAATGGTGCATTTTATTTTTTGTTTTTTATTATTATTATTATTATTATTATTATTATTATTATTATTTTTGTTTTATTATGATATTGTGGTGGCTTAAGTGGAGGAGTATGTCTGGGTACGATGATTTAGCTGTGAGCAAGTTCTTTGCCATTTCTTGAATTTTCTGGAACTTACATTTTAACTGCTCTTATGATCAAATTACAGGAATAATGAAGGACATTGATTATAGCAAGATATTGAAGTTCAATTATAGGAACAACTCATGTTTTCTATAGAAAGTTGTTCAGGTAAGTTCATAAAAGCCCTGAGATTCTTAGTTAGTAGGTGCATGAAGCCTGGCACGATATTGATAATGAGTTTATGCCCTCATGGTGTATTTTTCTAGCAACCAGATTGCATTCCTTGTTTTCTTGATAATCTCTGTCTTCGTTACTGTTCTAACTTTGAATTGTTCCCTAATTACATAATCCATGTGAAACCATATTAGCCATTTATTTTGAACAATCAGATTATGAAAATGTAGGGGGTACCGATGTGAATTACTTGAAAAGGTTTCGGCCAAGTTGATTGTGAATTGTTGTGCTGTCAAACTTTTGCTCATTTGAGCTCAAGTATGGTGAATTTAGACATGTGAGTTTTTTTTTTCTTTTCTTTTTTGGTGAATACTAGAGAATATACAAAATTACAAGGGGCATGCTCCAGGCCTTACCACAACTATAAAGAGTTACACAAAAACTAACAACTATCTAACCTGCCCTCAAATGATATACAAAACTGCCCTAATCCATAATAATTATATATAGAGCTAAGATGTTCAGCAGCCATATCCTGATAGAATAGGGGTCCTGAACAATAGTAATCCAAGCATTGGCAGTCAAGAAGCTCCCTATTAACACAATCTGGGCATGGTATGGTCTGACAAAAATTGCTTCACTTGTACCCACCATAACTTCATCAAGGCAGCACATATTAAAAAACATGTTCAACAGCCCACTATCTACTATCCCAAAACCAAAACATAATGAGTCTTCTACATAGCCCGTAGGAGTAGGCCATAACACTAATAAACTAGTATTTACATCAGTCTTCAAAAGATGGTTCAAAAAGTAATAACAACTATACAATAAACTAAGACAGAGAGCATGACAGGGCGCAAGCTGCTGCCACCAACAAGCCTCAATTCCTTTGGATAGGAGCAAGATGCAGCCACCTCCGATCCACCACACTAAGCCAACAATCATCCAAGATTCCTCCAAGTCACCAGCCTTCACTGGCAGCAGTCTTACAAGTGCATCCAACACATGGCAGCAGCAATCTCCTGGATGCATTTGCAAGCTAGATGTAATCAATATAACCTACCAATAATGAAGTATGAAATAAGTATTACCAAGAAATAGGTAATACAAATCACATAACAGCACCAGGCTAAAGCACACAATATATGGGCTCACTGCACTCGACCCACAATATAAAATCTCATATCTCTCTGTTACAGCTTTCTTACCCTACATATAAAAATCACTCATATAAAGCCTGAATCCACTCAACCCATAGAATTTTCACTCAAATGTTTGAATGCATGACATTTTAAATGTGTTTCTCACTTTACTCAACCCTTATCAAATTGTTGTTTAGCTCCTTATACTGCTGCATAGATTAGCAAACAATTAGAAAAACACACTTTTTTGCTTTCCTTCACTCATCTCTCTTATATTGAACTCATATCACTCAACATCCCTCCCATTCTTGATGATATGGGGCTTCAAAACAGACTCAGGTAGATTCCACTGAACAATGAACTAGTCATCACTGGTTGATCTTGGCAAGTTGTTAATAGACAAAAGTCTACCTCTAATCATTTGAATAATAGATTTAATAACCACCTCTTCAGGTTTGTATTCTTTATTAAAGATTCTATTATTCCTTTCAAGCCATATATGATAGACAGAGCACAACAAGGACAATTTAAGGATAATTGATCTCGGAGATTTGCCTTTAGTCTCTTTGGTAGCAAAGTTAATAACATCAGGCCAGTGAAGATTAGGCCAGTTCACATTGCACTTGGCTTTGAGAGCATTCCAGATCCTAGTAGAAAATAAACAATTAAAGAACAGGTGGGAATGACTCTCATCAGGATACTGACAGAGAGGGCAGATTGAAGTAGAGGTCAAGTCAAAAAGACTCAATCTATCACCAGTATTCAATCTATCATGAGAAGCTATCCAAACATTGAAGTTGACTCTAGGTATCATATGAGGACCCCAGATGAGCTTATGCCAAGCAACTTTATCATACTTATTCCTCCAATGATTCCAGGCAGAGTTGATAGTGAACTCCTCATCAGAGTTTAAATTCCAAATAGGTTGATCACACCTAGAGGAATAAAGCTAATATGGAATGGGCATTATTAATTGGTTTAGTCCTAAGATAATTGGTTATTCTGTTTATAGGAATAGAAAAGCTACTGATCGATCATCAAACACGGTAAGTCTTTAATTTTCGCCTCTTGCATACCTTGATCTTTCAATTTGTTAAATAAGCGTGTAATTGAGATAGAGGAGAACATATATGGTACAATTTGCATCCTACTTTTGAAATTGTTTTGCAGACTTGTTGCTATATATCTCAAACAAAATTATCTTAAGATGTGTGATAAAATCTTTATATATTTCAAAGAGTCAACTTTCACTTTAAGTGGTAGAAGTGATATTTAAAATATGATATGATGTGAAAACTTTTAAGACATTTCAAATGAACTTATTTCTATAGAAAGTTGTTCAGGTAAGTTCAATTTGCAGCAGGAGTTTTTTTTTTTTTTTTGTTATGATTGGCCAATGTTCTTGTTTTGTCTTAGTATTATATCCTATCATAATTTTTTATTATTCTGTTTTTATTGTACTAAGCTTTTGCTTTTAATTTTTTTTTTTCCAAATGTCATACTCCAAAAGGTCAAGGTGCCTTTGATACTCATTTCCGGACCCTATGGAGTTTGTATTTTGGTTTTGGATTTGGGCTTAGTTTTTGAAATGTCTCTAATGTAACTGTTTATTTGCCACAACTCTATACAGTTGAGTGCTGAGGCTACAATGCTTCTTATGCAATTGGATTTCTGGATTTGTGTTAAAACTATTTTTAAGTTTTGTCAAACTTAATTATTACTTGCTTTACATGTTTTATTCTTTTAAGGAATCTAGTCATTCTGTCTGTCATTGTATTACAAAATAGCCTTAATAAATATTGCTAAATATTAAAAGTGAAAAATATAATTCTACATATTATTAAGTTGGAAACTTTGGGTGTGTTTGGTTTGTGTTTGTAGAGTATTTTTGAGATAAAAAGTACGAAAACTTGTTTGGTTTGTCTTTTTTCAGAAATGATTTTGGAAAATTATTTTGGGGAGAGAGTTTTAAAAAAAGTGATTGATTTGATGTGTATGAGAGAGAGTAATTTTGGAAAGTAGGTAACCAAACAAAATTTTGAGATTTTTTTTGAAAAAATTTGTTTGGTTTGATTACTCTTGAAAATTTGTTTGTAGAGAATTTTTCCTAAAAATTTTTCTGAAAAACAAACCAAATTTATTTCTTACAAATTCAGGGTTTGTGGGCTAAATATTAGAATTCTGTTTGTTCACTCAAATTATTTGGAATGCAATTATATTCAGAAAGATTAAACAACCATGCTTGTGACTGATGTATTGATGCATATACCATGACAGTTTGGCCATGTATTGACAGGTTGACAGCTTGAAGGAAAAACTCCTTGAAAAGTTAGAACAGTTCATGGGATTAGATGTTTGGATTAGACTATTTTTAGTAAATTCAATGTTTGGTTGGACGAACTGGATAAAGAAATGTTCAAAAGACTATTTTACCCTTGTAATTTATAATTTTTGTTTAATATATAATTTTAAATTTGTAATCTATAATTTAACAACACTAAATTTTTTTAATTTATAAGGCCATAATTTTTAATTTATTATTTTCAATTAAATTAAATTTATAATTTATATTTTTTATTTAATATATAATTTTAAATTAACAACACTAAAAAAATAATTTTATTTAATATATAAATTTAATTTTTTAACAACACTAAAAAAATTATAAGGCCATAATTTTTAATTTACTATTTTTAATTAAATTAAATTAAATTAAATTTATAATTTATAATTTTTATTTAATATATAATTTTAAATTAACAACACTAAAAAATTAATTTACAAGTGTCCAAAAGACTATTTTACCCTTTTTCAATTGTTGATTAAGTAATAGCATGAAGGTAAAATGGAGATTTCACACATTAATCCCATGAGATACCAATCCTATGGAAATAATCCCACCCCTCCCCCTAAGATACAATAATCTCTCATATGAAAGACTAATAGTCCGGAGGGACTATTAATCCGGAGCAAAAAAATTGAACCAAACAATGGACTATTAGTCTACATGAACTAATAGTCCAGTCCCATAAAATAATTCCTCAAAGCAAACAAACTAGTGTAACACTCTAAAGTAACGCACAAAAAAATTTCTTATTGTAACACTCTAATGTAATACACAAAAAAACTCATTAGTGTATTTTTTGAATTTGATTCTAGAGAAGTAAGCAATTCTTCATTGGATCATGATACACCTTCTAAATAAGGAAATTACCTCGACTCAGTTCCTTCTGCTTTCTACTGCTTCTGAGGCAAGTGAACACAAACTGACGTTATATTTGTTTTTTATATGGGTATCTTCTTGGATTACATTTAAATTTAATTGTATTATCATATCAAACCACTCCTAGCTGTTAGTGCAATTTTAATGAGATGAACTTTGTTTCAATTTCTAACCGTGCTTTTATTATGCAAAAAGAACTTAATTTCAGAAATAAGAGCCAGCTGGTACTGTTGTTCTACCAATTTTTTTTTTCTTTTTCCCTGAAGCATGTACTCTTTCTTGTTAGTTCTTATAGCAAGTGCTCATGTTAGATTTTTTATTTTACGTTCTTAAATCCTGTAGTTAGTTTTTGCACGATAACCATTGCTTATCTACTATTTTTTGTGTAAGGCTTATACTCGGGAGTTTGTGGAAGTGGTCTATGCTTGTTGGGTAATATTCTTTGATTCAGAGCAGTAACTAATCAAACTTGCACAAGACCTTACTAGGTATGAGTTTATTTTTCAACAAATTTTTTTTTATTATAAAAATCTGCTAGAATTTATGATGTACTTTTTCTTGGATGATCTTTTAAAGAAGAAGAAATGCATTTTGCTCATAAATGAGGGAAATTATATTTTATTCCAGGGGCGAAAAAGCTACTGGTTTGGAAACACCATCCCGAGGTATAAAAATAGTTAGAGAAGTTGTTAGAAGATATATTGTGTGGTGTTCGATTCATATATATGTTATAATCTTATTTATTGAAATAAATATCAAATGTTTTACATTTTTTTTAAGGTTGAAATTAATTATATTGTAAATAATTAATTCTTTTTCTTTTTCTTTTTGCAAATGCTATCTTTTGAGTACATGATGATATCTTCACATATCAATATTGGAGCTTATTGTTGATACTAAAACAAGCTATAATATATAGGTTTTTTTTATTTGTACTGTCAATACTTTTGTTTTGTTTTAAATACAAATTTGAGTTCTTGAATTATCAAAAATTATTAATATTGTTGGAGGATGTTTTATATATTTTTGTAAGGAATGTTTGATTGACACTGTATTGTTACATGGTACATATATATATATATATATATATTGAGTTCTTGAATTTCAAAAATTATTAGTATTGTTAGAGGTTATTTTATATATTTTTGTAAATAATATTTGATTGACAATTGTTACAAGGTACATACATTATTCTTGGTATATGATGTTTTGAATGTGAATTTGGATGTGGATGTGGATGCATTTTAGCAAATATTAATAATTTGTATAGGGAATATTTAATAAAATATGATTTTATAAAAAATAATTTTATTGGACAATAATAAACCGTCGCTAATGTAATTCTCATTTCCTTATATTTTATTAGCGACGGGTTAACCTGTTGCATATATATATATATATATATATTAGTGCCATCTTTAGCGACGGTTTAAACTGTCGCAAATATGATATTAATTTAATTTTACTTTTTTTGCGACGTTTTAAACCGTTGCTAATAATACTTTTTTCGATGACAAATACCGTCTTTAAAAAATTTTTGGCGATGGCAACCCATATCGTCACTAAAGGTGAAGTTTTTTTCCCATTTTTTTGTGTCAGGTTAAACCGTCGCAAAAATCATTGATTAGCCGTCGTTACAAGAACACGACGGTTTGTAACCGTCGCAAATACTTTTTGTCACGCCCCCTTCCGCCACCCCCCATTTCCCGTCACTACTCCGTCGCAAAAGTCTTTTGCGACGATATATGGACCTTTTGCAATGTTTGAGACCGTCGCAAAAAGTCCAATTTTTAATAGTGCTAGATGAAAGTGGATCGGAGTTCTATAGCTGAAATGGACTATCTAAGAACTGGGGACTTGCAACACAGAACATCGTCAGAGCTACCTGGCCGAGATTGGCCAAAAAATCCCTTTGATGTGGGAATGAGTGATTGGAGAAAATAAATGACTCTCTCTAAGTGTAGAGAGAGCGAAAGAAAGAGAGTCTTTGAGTTGAAATGGATTGAGTTCCACTAAGTTAGTTCAAGTTGGATTAAGTTACCTTCAATGTGAAGAGAGCGATGCTTATATAGAAGACTTTACTTGTTGACTAAGATGATTTCATGGAGTTTTGGTGCGTCAAGGCTTCCCTTAACATTGCTCAAGGTTGGAGACCACAAGGTAGTTGACCATGGATACATGTTCTTATCATAACCATGTATATAACATATCAAATTCCCTTTGCTAACTGTTTTTGTGATTGTTGGAAAACAATATGGTTTTATACGCTTAAATTGGGCTAATTTTGAGCCCAAATTTGGATGGGGCCCACACGTCTTTTAATGTGGGTCTAAAGAGGTGACGTGTTTCTTGCCGCGTGGCAAGTCACACGATGAAGACAGTTCGTCAAAACCATTTATGAGTAAATGGGAAGTTGACGTCGTTTTCGCGTTCGTGGAATGAACAATTAAAGAATAAAATGTGGGTGGTAAGGCTTGTCCCATATTGAAACTTTAAGTGAGCTTATATGGGTATATAAGCTCTAGGTGAGAATAGTGTAAGTGTGGGTCGAGTCGGTTCTAACATTAATTTTTGGGACAAAATTTATTTGAATTTTTTCAAATTTTCGCAGGAAAAAAATTATTTTAATTTCAAAATGAAATTAATTTAATTTTTGTGCCAAATTTTTCTGTCCAAACAAGCCTCCTCCTGTCCAATTTCCAACTGTTTGAACTGCTCTAAACTGCCCAGCAGTTCGGACAAATTTAAACCTATGTCAACAGATTCAAATTCAAAACCATACCTGTTCAGGTTGTTTTGCACCTGTTCGGCCGTTCTGAATGGTCACCTATCTGCCTATAAACACCAGGCCTTTCCAACAAATTTCTACATCCTAAAAAAATTTGAAATTCTCTTGGTTCCCTTCCAGTTTTGCTCCTTTGCATAAATTCTCTTCATACTAGTTTTTAGGAAAAATTAAGAGAGTATAGAACATAGGTTTTGTTCGCCATATAAATTGTTTGGAGTGGTACTGTAATTTGTGTAGATTATTGTATCCTGGGAGATAGACACCTTTTATCCGTAAGCACCAAAGTGGGGCAAATCTGTCTTAAGGATAGAGTATCACACACTCGACTTAATCTATTTTGTATTTTTCATTTTGGTAAATAAATTCAGTAAGTGATTTATTTTATTTGTTTGATTTGGTTGCAACTTACTTATTTTACACAGAAGATTGTTCCAACAATCTTAAGACATACTCGAATTATTCTGTTTATACAGAATTTTTGTTTGTTTTCTTTTCTCTTTTTTCTTCTTACAGAAATTATTTTTTGTGGTTTTACAAAATAATATTTTGGTTGGAAAAACAAATAATAGTAATATGCTATTTGACAAATAGTAGTAATATACTATTTATTTTGTAACACCCTGAATGTTTAATTAAATATCACATAAATATTTATAATTATGGTTGTATGTGATTTATATTATTAAAACAATAAATAAATAACTAAACAAATAAATAGTATAGAAGTATTTGAAGAATTGGACCAGCATGACACCAAAAGTTAAATAAATAAATATAAAAGTAATAATAATAATAATAATAATAATAATAATAATAAGATAGTTATCCAAACAAATTTGTGAGTTAATTAGGAGGGAATGTGGCATTTGTGAGTGAAGACACCTGTACAGAATATATATAATTTTAGATTTAGTCATCATGATGAAGATACTCACCAGATGGTGAGTCATCAGAAGCAAAGGCCTCGTGTATATAAGGCAAGCCGAGGCAGCAAAGTTGAAGGTACCAATAAGAAGGAAAATTAGGAAAGGTACTGCATAGACGCGAGGCTCGAAAAGATAGGAAAAATAGGAATGAAATAGTAAGACTCAATCTTAAGGTGAGTTATATTATACCTTGAGTCACCATAATATATTTTACGTATGTTTGGAACTACCATGATTTATTTTATATGGGTTATGTTTTATAACTTATATTTGTATTTCAATTACGTTAATTATTTTTTGAACGTTATGTACTTAAATTGAAACCCATGGATATGTTTGTTTAAATTTTAGAAATTATTTGATAATGATTTTGTAAACAATTATTTTCTGTAAGTACCACCACGGGAGTCCCATGCCTTAAGGGGACTTAAATAACCATTGGTCTCTGTTTGGCCACTTTGTGGTCCTCTGTTTGTCATGGATCCATTGACCTCTATTCTGACTGTCACTCCAGTGATCTCTGTTCTGTTCTGTTTGTACCGAGGTTATGGTTATTTATTTACGAAATTTTTGTATTTCAGTTTCTGCCATGTAAATATTTTGTTTATTCAAATTACATTATGTAAATGTTTTAGCTTAATTAACTATCCATAGTTATTTTGTGTTCCCCATACTTTTGGCATAATATTTCTCACTCTGTTGTGTGCTTATAGCTGTTACCTTTTCAGATGATGAGATGTAAGGAAGACCTGTAGCCTCGTGTAGTGGAACCCATACAAGAATTTGATGCTAATCCATTATTTTGTGTTTTTCTTTTCTTTTCTTTACTTCCTTTTGTTTTTACTGATGGGGTAAAAACAGGGCTGACACTCTAGAATACACGACCACTGCTCAATGAGCACTGATGGCCGGTTGTAGACACCCCATTTTCTCGAAAACTATTTTGTGTTTTTCTTTTCTTTTCTTTTCTTCCTTTTGTTTACCGCCACTCACTCCATGAGGTGCTTTCTAGAGTGCCGTTTTGTCTGTTTATTGCATTCCCTTAGCATCATGCTCTACATCACTTGTAACATGTACTGTATCATCGCACTTATTGCATTTATTTGCATCTTGTGTTATCTTGTACCATTTATCCTTTTACACCGAGCTGCGTCTAGGATCGTTGTCCTCCGGGACTTTCTCAGGTTGTGCCGAGCACGCACCTGATACTTTGTTTCGGACCTCTTCTCACGATTTCAGCGTGGTTTGAGTGTTCTGTTCCTTACGCGATTTCAACGTATTTGGAATTTATCTCAGGTTGCGTTGTAGACGCACCTGGGCGGTTTGTTTTCGGACCGCTTCTAACGATTTCAGTGTGGTTTGAGTGTCCCGTTCCTTACACGATTTCAGCGTGTTTGGAATTTATCTCAGGTTGTGTTGTAGATGCGCTAGGCGGTTTGTTTCGGACCTCCTCTCACGATTTCAGCGTGGTTTGAGTGTCCCGTTCCTTACACGATTTCAGCGTATTTGGAATTTATCTCAGGTTGCGTTGTAGATGCACCTGGGCGGTTTGTTTTCGGACCTCCTCTCACGATTTCAGCGTGGTTTGAGTGTCCCGTTCCTTACGCGATTTCAGTGTGCTTGGAATTTATCTCATGTTGCGTTGTGTACGCACCTAGGCGGTTGTTTTCAGGCCTCTTCTCACGATTTCAGCGTGGTTTGAGTGTCCCATTCCTTACGTGATTTCAACATGTTTCAAATTTATCTCAGGTTGCGTTGTAGACGCACCTAGGCGGTTTGTTTTCGGACCTCTTCTCACGATTTCAGCGTGGTTTGAGTGTCCCGTTCCTTACGCGATTTCAGCGTGTTTGGAATTTATCCTAGGTTGCGTTGTAGACGCACTAGGCGGATTGTTGGACTTTCTTTCACGTTTTCAGCGTAGTTTGAGTGTCCCTTTCCTCACACAATTTCAGTGTGTTTGGAATTTGACTTAGGTTGCGTCGTATGCGCGCTTGATTGATTGTTTTTCCTCCTCTCATGATTCCAGCATGGTTGGAGTATTCTCCCCTTTGCATTCACCATTGCATTTTGCATGCATTGCATCGCACTATCTTGCGCACCTTACCTGTGTCACATTATTTTGTGCATTCACCTTACTCG